TCTCCTGCCTCAGCCTCCTGAGTAGCTGGGATTACAGGCATGTATCACCACGCCCAGCTGATTTTCATATTTTTTGTAGAGACTGGGTTTCACCGTGTTGGCCAGGCTGGTCTCAAACTCCTGACCTCAAGTGAGCCACCTGCCTCGGCCTCCCAAAGTGCTAAGATTACAGGCATGAGCCACTGTGCCCAGCCTTTTTTTTCTTCTTTTCTTTTTTGATTAAGACAAGGGCTCACCCTGTTGTCCAGGCTGGAGTGCAGTGGTACAATCTTAGCTCATTGTACCTTCAACCTTCTAGGCTCAAGGGCTCCTCCTGCCACAGCCTCCCTAGTAGCTGGGACTACAGGCACACATGCCCTGACACCCAGCTATCATTTTTTAATTTTTAGTAAAGACGGAGTCTCGGAATATTGTCCAAGCTCATCCCCAACTCCTGAGCTTAAGCAGTCTTTCTGCCTTGGCCTCCCAAAGTGCTGAAATTGTAGGCATCAGCTACCACACCAGGCTTGGAATTTTCTTTCTAATATATATAGTCTACAGATACCTTTCTCAAATTAAAAAGTTGTATTTTTGACTGGGTGTGGTGTCTTGAGGAAGAAGGATTGCTTGAGACCAAGTGTTCGAGACCAGCCTGGGCAATATATTGAGACGTTACCTGATTCTCTGCTTTTTCTTTCCTTTTTCTGATTTCTCTGCTCTTTGAGGGTAAGATTATATCCTCAAAGACTACACCCTTCAATAGTAGCTAGCATAGGGATGGGTACATTCAGTGGGTAAGTGAATAAATGAATATACAAAATACAATCAGAACCTTAGAGAATGGGAACCTGGTAGGACTATAAACACATGCAGAGAAGCACCCATCATAGGGCAGGCTGGCTTCCAGTCTAGACCCTGGTCATCTCACAGGAAACTAAGGGTACTTAAACAGAGCCCTGGCTCCTATGCCATGCAGTGTGAAGTTGTATCCTTCACTGTCTCAGGTAATATTTAGGGAAGAAGAGTGTTAACAAGAAAGAACAATTGAGAAACAACCTATATGACCATACAGGGAATTTAGCTGGTAAATGGTGGTATAGCCAAATGATAGAATTCTTTGTAGATCTGGCCGGACATGGTAGCTCCTGCCTATAATCCCAGGACTTTGGGAGGGCAAGGTGGATCACCTGAGGTCAGGAGTTTGAGACCAGCGTGAGCAACATGGTGAAAGTTCATCTCTACTAAAAATACAAAATTAGCTGGGTGTGGTGGCACATGCCTGTAATTCCAGCTACTTGTGAGGCTGAGGCAGGAGAATTGCTTAAACTTGGGAGATCGAGGTTGCAGTGAGCCAAGATTGTGCCAGTGCACTCTAGCCTGGTCAATAAGGGTGAAACTCCATCTAAAACAAAAAAAACGAAATAATTATTTGTAGATCTTAAAGATAAGTTTGTGGCCAGCACAGTGGCTTATGCCTATAAGCTCAGCACTTTGGGAATCCAAAGTAGCAGAATTGCTTGAGGCCAGGAGTTTGAGACCAGCCTGGGTAATATAGTGAGACTGCATCTCTACAAAAAAAATTTTTTTAAATTACCTGGCATAGTTCTGCATCCCTATAGTCCCAGCTACTTGGAGGCTGAGACAGGAGGATTACTTAACCCTAGGGGTTCAAAGCTGTAGTGAGCAATAATCATGTCACTGTACTCCAGCCTGGGTGACAGAGACTCTGTCTCTTAATATATATATTAAGATTTCCACTTGGCAGATATATTAATTTAGGGATTTTGATTTCAATATTTTATTTCGAAAGTATGTAAGATGATTGCCAGGTGTAGTAGCTCATGCCTGTAATTCTAGCTCTTTGGGAGGCTGAGGAAGGAGGATCATTTGAACCCAAGAGGTCGAGGCTGCAGTAAACTATGATTGTACCACTGTGCTCCAGCCTGAGCAACAGAGTCCTTCTTTTCTGGGGGTGGGGAAATATGTAAGATAAATCATAATTGAATTAAAATCTTTAGACATTTTGTTTTTATGGTGGGTAGCAGACTCAGGACAAGAGGCATTGCTTTTAAGGTTAGGAATTACAATAATATATTGGTTACAAAAAACTGAAAGTGATACTTCAAGTACAATTAAGTATAAAGCTATGATTTCACCCCCAAATTTCTGAGCGTTGTCCATAATACAGTCCTAGTTGTGTGGATGTTAGTCTTGGTTGATTTAAATGTCCTGGAATTGCATCTGTTTTTAGGTCAGCTCTTGAAATTAGTAATTACCTCTAGTAAAATGCTTTTATTAGTCATAGAATTATTTAACTCTTTGACTAGAAAGCACATATGAGTAGTTGAAGGCTGTTCCTTTATTTGAGTCTTTTTATAGTTCTCTAGCTATTAAGGATTCCTTCTTAACAAAGCAGACTTTCTGTTGATGTAAGTAATAGGTTCACCCATGATTGTGTATAAATAAATTACACCTTCTCTGGTGCTATAACATCATCCTGATTTAGGTATGTGGTGGTGTCTCAAACTTCATAAATGAATACCTGAAATACTTATATATTGCATTCATCTGAAAGGAAGCTACTAGTAGGCCCACTCAAAGGATTGTTAACATCTCTTATAATTTCATGTTTTGGCAGGTAAACCTAGCCTTTAAGCAACCTGGAAAGAGGCTAGAGCACCAAGGAATTAGAATTGAATTTGTAGGTCAAATTGGTGAGTTTTAAAATAGTATTACTTTTTTTTTCTTTGATAACTGAATTTGAAGAGGGTTGGATTTTAACTAAAATAATTGAATTAGAGCTTAGCTTTGTAGAAGGAAGGAATGGATTTTGCATAGTAAAAGAGAGGACTTACTTTATAACTATTAAATTGTGTTTCTTTGACTTGTATGAAATGATATTTGACTCAACTTACCCTTATTTGTTATTGGACTTCTTTACTAAAAATTAAAGGAGTTATAGTAAACTACCAGCCTTGAAAATAATTCAAAGAAATTAGTTGACCTAATGAAATTTTCATCTCCCTACATTTTTCACCATCCTTCTTATAATTAATTAGCAGCCTCATCTTCATTCTTCATTTTCTAATTACCCATGCCATTTGTTTTCCTGATCTAGTGTGTGCCTGTAGCCAGACTCACCTGTGTCAATACAAAACTCCATGTGAAAAAGGTGTAATTTCTTCTTGACTTAGATCAACTTATGTACATTTCCATACATTATTTCAGATACATGCTTGATTTAGTAGGGAGTTAAACTGTATATAAATCTTTATGTACTGCAAATTCAGAAAAGAGAAAAGAAAATATGTCTTTATAATACTGTCTACATAACTAGGTTTAAAATCTAGCTTTCTAAGTTTCATTGTACACTTTTAAAGTATTAGAGTGGGATGGGTAGATATTTGTTTATATATCTGTTCTGACTGAGAGTGTACTTACGTATCTATTCTGAGAGGCAAGTTGTAGTAATCAATAGTTGGTTTTAGTCTTTTTGTGTTTTGTAATTTTATGAAGGTAATATGTTTGCCTAATTAAAACGAAACATAATTTTTGCCTTGTCTGGGGGGAAGTTCAAATAATTGCTGGTAACCTGTCAAATGGCTTCATATTGGGAGAGCCCCAACTATGTCAAAAGAATGAACTTATTTTTAATAGAAATTTTCATTGTGCTGTGCCACTTGAAATCTTTTATGCCTACATGGAGTATAATTATAAAAAGAATAATGGAATTCAGAGCATAGGTCTAGTTTATTAAAGTAGAGACAAACCCAGTAATTCTTTTGGTAAAAATTGTTTGTGTTAGGAGTAGACGTTTGGGTTTTATTGAAATGGATATTAATTAATTGGTCTTTCTGCCTTTTAAAATTTCTTAGAACTTTTCAATGACAAGAGTAATACTCATGAATTTGTAAACCTAGTGAAAGAACTAGCCTTACCTGGAGAACTGACTCAGAGCAGAAGTTACGATTTTGAATTCATGCAAGTTGAAAAGCCATATGAATCTTACATCGGTGCCAATGTCCGCTTGAGGTATGAATATGTATTATAAACTGTAAACAGAATCAAAACCAGAAAGTAATGACTACTGTTGATATCTTATTTGAACCTCTAATTATAATTCTAGATTGGAAGACTTAAGGTTTTTAAAAATTCTGTCAGTCTGGGCTCAGTGGCTCACACCTGTAATCCCAGCACTCTGGGAGGCCAAGGCAGGCGGGCGGATCACCTGAGGTTAGGAATTCGAAAGCAACCTGGCCAACATGGTGAAACCTCATCTTAAAAAAAAAAATTCTGTCACATACTTTGTCAGATACCTCTGATCTGAGGTAATAGAGCTTTCTAATATTATAGAGTTAGACAACATTGTTATGAGACATGTCAGTTATACACTTACCTGGTATGAATTCTCCTTTATGTACTTCATTTGTCACGTAAACTGAATTACCTTCTAAATCCACTAATTTTCCAGAAAATTTCATTTAGTATGTGGTTCAGAAGTAATCTGGAGTGCCAGAGAAGCTCTGATACACCTAAAATGAGACAGGTAGTGGATGGCAGAACTGGAGCAGGAACCTGCTTTTCTAAACTCTCAATTCAGTGTCCTTTCCCTTCACCAAGTCTGCATGCAGGAAGCCAGGGATGTCCAGGGTATTTGAGGATATTAATCCGAAAGCATCAGATCTGAGATTTTGCTTTCTCTGTTTAACTTGGCATTATCCATCTGGAACTGGGTTTGACAACCCAAATTTCAAATAGCAGTTCCTTAAATGATCTGGAGCGGTTTCTTCAAGTAGCCTTGATGACAGCACTCCAAACTCATCTGTAAAGTATTTACACTATTCTTAAAGTTGAACTTCGTATTTTTTTTTCCATGTTGGGGGCATTAAACTCCTTCCTGAAGTAATGAAGTAAGTTGATCCCAAAGGAGTTCCAGCAAGAAGGAGAAGGCTGAGTTGCAGTTAATGTTTGCTGATTTAAAACATGAAAATTTATTACAGGTGATTTAACTCATCCTCTCTTTTAATTTTGTAGGTATTTTCTTAAAGTGACAATAGTGAGAAGACTGACAGATTTGGTAAAAGAATATGATCTTATTGTTCACCAGCTTGCCACCTATCCTGATGTTAACAACTCTATTAAGATGGAAGTGGGCATTGAAGATTGTCTGCATATAGAATTTGAATATAATAAATCAAAGTAAGTACCTTTCACAGATAAGTTATTCAGGGAAAATTCAAAAATTAGCTTTTCAGGTCTTTGTTAGTTGGTCAAAGTAAGCATAGAAGTGACATTAATCTGATGCTAACAGATCAACAGGATCTCAGAGCTAAAAGAAATTTTAGGAGTTTGGTCTGGCTTCCACCCAATTAAGGTGTCTTTTATGTGCTATTCCTGATAAATCTCTGCCTGGCCACTTTTTGTAGAGGATGTTACCATCTCAGAAGGGAGCCAGTCCTATTGTGTCTGTTACAGTTTATCTTACTGGCTTTACATTACCTCATATTGGCCATCTCTTTTCACATATTTTCACCTTTACCACTTAACCACTGTTAATATCCCCTGTATATCTTTACTTGGGGGTCGAGGAAGGTATATATGTTTCTGTATGTTGTATTTTAACAAAACTTGCTCATATTTTGTTTATTGTTTAATGCCTTTTTAAACTTTATTATGGGAAATTTCAAACATATACTAAAATATTTGAACAGTATACTTGAACAATATAATGAATCCTCATGTACCCATTGCCCAGCTCCAACAGTTATCAACACATGATCCAGTTTGTTTTATCTCTCAACTATAAATATTCAGTTCTTATACTCCCCATAGGTTATATTGAAGCAAATTCCAGACATTTAATTTAACCCATAAAATTATGTATCATTTTATCAATTATATGTCTGGAATTTGCTTCAATATAATCTATGGGAGGTTGTATCTATCATGTTATACATGGACTAAGATGTTCTCAGAAACATTACTTACAAGAACAAAAGTTTGCCAGTTAAATGCCCATTGCTATTTTACAGTTAAATAAATTATGGTCCAGCCATACTGTGGAATGCTAAAGAAGAGTTAAAAAGATTGAGGCTATGTATGGTGGCTCACGCCTGTAATCCCAGCACTTTGGGAGGCTGAGGTGGGTGGATCACCTGAGGTGAGGAGTTTGAGACCAATCTGGCCAACATAGTGAAACCCTGCCTCTACTAAAAATACAAAATTTAGCTGGGCATGGTGGTGTGTGCCTGTAATCCTAGCTACTCAGGAAGCTGAAGGAGGAGAATTGCTTGAACCTGGGAGGCAGAGGTTGCAGTTATGCTGAGATTGCACCACTGATCTCCAGCTTGGGCGACAGAGCGAGACTCCATCTCAAAAAAAAAAACATTGAGAAATGTGTATTTAATTCTCCAGAAGCGTATCCATGACATATTGTTAAGTGAAAAAGTTAGCCATAAAAACAGCATGTGTAGTACTATTTCATTTCTGTAAAATGCTCATGTATTTGGATATGAATAGAAAAGGCCTGCAGTGATATTTGGCATATTGTTAACACTGGTTATCTGTAAAGGATGAAATTATGTATTGAGTTTATACATTTCTTATTTAAATGTTAAATGACAAGCTTGTTTTCTGTGTCTACTCAGAAAAAAAGTTTTAAAAAGTTACATCATTCTAAATACAACTACAATACTATTATATCTAAAAATATTAGTAATTCCTTAATATCTTCATATATCCAGGCAACATTCACATTTACCCAATTGGCTTATAGATGCCTTTCTTTTTTCACATGCTTGTTCATATCAATATCTAAATAAGCACCACACATTGGATTTGGTTGTTTGACTCTTAAATTTTTTTTTTTTTTTTTTTTTGGGACGGAGTTTCGCT